CAGCTGGACGTGCCCCGAGATTCTTTTGTCTTTCACCTTCTGGGAAAAGCAGTGCATATTTGAGTACTTTTGACTGACAGACTGTGCAGCAGTGTGGAAGCTGCCCTGTGGCTGAGCAGCCAACGAGCCCGGTGCCTTTCCCTACTGCTGCTGTCTAAAAACTACATCTAGAGCTGCTGAGCAGCACAGCGGAACCTCTGCCAGCCAACAGCTGCACAGCACACACAGAAGCTGCTGTTCCTCCCAGCTAGCAGCAGCACATCCGATTAGAGCTCATCTATCATCATGACTTTTTTTTTTTTTTCTTTTTAGAAAACTAATGCCAACCATCTAAAAAAAAAATAAAAAAAACAAGAAAGAATGCTTTATGGAAGAAGAGAAATTCTGGGGCTCTAGATGCAGAGCTGTGACACTTCTGACTGCTGTTCACTGGCCCACTTCAGGGCGTTGCAGGATTGCAAAATGCCCACAAACACACAAAGAATTTCAGCCTTTCTCAACACAGAAAGCAGAACACATGCTTTACTGAAAAACCATCTCCATATGGAAACAATGATTTATGATGGCAGCAAATGCTTGCCAGCACAATTACATTTCCACCTCAATCAGAACAAAGTACAGTTCACATTAGGATTTGGAATTTGGGAACTGCTGATCTGTTCTCCTTGCAACGAACAGATTTCACTTCTTTTACTAAATGCTTTCAATTTGCAGCCTAAAATAGAGTTGTCTGGATATACAAAAGAATATAACTCTGCTAGAGATGGTCATTTTTTATACCCATCACATATAAGACTACATGAACTTAAAAGTTGTTAACGTCTTAAGAATTTCTCTGCAGAACACCAGACACTTGGGTTCTACAAGGATGAAATCAGAGGAGAAACTGAATACACAAAGGACAGAGCAACTACAGCTGCTATCTTTGGAGCAAACTTGGAGTGATGTGCAGTGCTTCCACATCACTTCACTTGGTATTCTGGTCATCCAGACCTACTTTCTCCTGCATAAATCCATAAATCTCCAAATAGCATGCATATTATTTCATATCATCAGATATCATATCATCATATCTGGCAATATCTTTTTAAGGTACCCTTACGATTCAGTGAATTAACCATGAATTAACAAATATTTTGGTGCATTGGCCAAACTGCAGCTGGACTCACAGTGAGTTAGGTAACACCCAAGAGTTGATGTTGAGACAACTCCCAACTGCCTGTGGTCAGAACATGGCAGCAGTCCTCTGAGTGACCTCTATCCCAAGAGGTAAATTGACAGTCTGAATTCAAAGGACAACTGACTGTGAAATTCAGCCCCATCATCCAAGGGAGGTAGCACTAATTTTATGGTTTACTTAGGAGATCCTGATTCTTATTCTCCTAAAAATAAAGCAGAATCAAGTTTATTCCAACTGTTGTATTTGTCTATGGGTTGTATTCCCTTATTCTCTATTGCTCGAGCTCCTCTTTGTCCCAGTTACCACCAAAAATGAGGGCTAGAAACAGGCACAGAAAAACAGACCCCTTTTTCACAGATATCAATATAATTGTGAAGAAGGCATTGCTTATAAAGAATTAAACAACGCATACAAAAATTAAGAGGAAGACTGTTAGGGAGAAAAAGAAAACATTTTCCAGCCCCCCAAATTTATATTGATGTCAGGGGTTACTGGCCTCTTCCCAAGATGAAACTCCTGTAGAAACAGCTTCTTGTTAACTCTGTTGAAAAATCTCTTTTGTGTTTTAGGGAGGGCTTCAGAAGGGGAGATAAGTAAGGATTCCTACACTGCTGGGCCTCCTGTTGCAATGCTAATTTTCAGTAGGGATCCAAAAGAACAGATGAAGAGAAAGCTAATGGCTGCACCACAGACAGAGATCTGGCCTCTACAAGCTTCATCTTAGCTCTCCTTAGGAACGGTGCCCCTGTAGAGAACATTTGAGCATATTAATACAGAGTAACTACAGTGTATTTGATTCTTAGCAGTATATGAATGAGTAACATTTTTAAAGTGCAATGTTGAATTTCATGCTATTTAAAGAAGAAAGTGTCAACATAACTGGTATTCATTTCTGAATAATTTTACCATTACTGTGTTCTTTTTATACACTTCATATCCAAGATTAGGGTTTTAGCTTTCCTTGAATGATGCAAAGAACACTGCAAATTAAATAACAATGTTTAATGAGAAAAGACTTATTCATGACACTGATCCAACTAAAATCATGAACAAGAAGTTGGCTTGTTATTAGAAATCAGTCAAGTAATTGTACTCATCCCAAACTTTCAGTTTGTGTGCCACTCATTTTAAGTCTGCGTGTGCCTTTTTGTGACAATTAGCGAGAAATCTGAGATGGACCTTGCAGATATCCTTACTTCTAATACAGAAACCAGGTAAACTAACTAATAAAGGAATGAAATGGAGGAAAACTGTCTCTTTCACATGCTAACACTGTCTGTTCTACTAACAATAGTTGCAAAGCAAAATACTTGAAGTCTCATTGGACTATGAGCTTTGCAATTCGTAGTTTCTAATCATTTATCATTTCTTCCCTGATTTAGTCCTTTGCATTTCTAATCTATCAACCATCAAGTTAATAGTCATTGTTATCTGGGTATTATTTACACAGTTCACAGCAAAGCTAGCATTACTTCTTGGAACTAGATTCCTCCTCACTACAGATACCCCCATTCTCCCAGTCTAAATACTGTTGGTGTGATATGGTATTAGGAATCCAGCTTGTGTCCTCAGTGCTTCCTACCATAACGTTGCATCTTCTAGAGCTTTACTTACAAGTCTGGTATAACAAAATTCAGCGGGTAATATCTACCACATTAAGTGTGTTAAAACTTAAGTTTTAGTCTCATATCAGTGCAAGAAATCACAGAATGGCCAGGGTTGGAAGGGGCCCCAAGGATCATGAATCTCCAACCCCCCTGCCACACGCAGGGCCAGCAACCTCCCCATTTAATGCTAGACCAGGCTGCCCAGGGCCCCATCCAATCTGGCCTTGAACACGTCCAGGGTCGGGGCATCCACAACCTCTCTGGGCAGCTGTTCCAGCACCTCACCTCTCTCTCTGTAAAGAATTCCCCCCTGACATCCAACCTAAATCTCCCCTCCCTCAACTTAAAACCACTTCCCCACATCCTGCAGTTATCAATCCTTTCAAAGAGTTGACTCCACTCCCCTCTGTAGGCTCCCTTTAGGTACTGAAATGCTGCAATGAGGTCACCCTGCAGCCTTCTTTTCTCCAGGCTGAACAAGCCCAGCTCCCTCAGCCTGTCCTCATAGGGGAGGTGCTCCAGTCCCCTGATCATCTTTGTGGCCCTCCTCTGGACCCTCTCCGACAGCTCCCTGTCTTTTTTGTACTGGAGCTCCAGACTTGGACACAGTACTCCAGATGGGGCCTCACAAGAGCAGAGTAGAGGGGAACAATCACCTCCCTGTCCCTGCTGGCCACCCCTCTTTTGATGGAGCCCAGGATACCATTTGCCTTCTGAGCCGCAAGGGCACACTGCTGGCTGACATTAAGGTTTTCATCTATCAAGACCCCCAAGTCCTTCTCCACAGGGCTGCTCTCAAGGACCTCTCCTTCCAGTCTGTATGGATGCCTGGGATTCCTCCGGCCCAAGTGCAAAACTCTGCACTTTGCCATGTTGAACCTCATCAGGTTCACCCAGGCCCACCTTTCTAGCCTCTCAAGGTCCCTCTGAATGGCATCCCTTCCTTCAACTGTGTCGACCGCACCACTCAGCAAACTTGCTGAGGGTGCACTCGATTCCTCATCGATGTCATTGATAAAGATGTTAAAGAGCACCAGTCCCAAGACAGACCCCTGGGGGACGCCGCTCGTTACCAGCCTCCACCTGGACATGGAGCCATTGGTGACCACCCTCTGTCTGCGGCCTTTCAACCAGTTTCTTATACATCAAGTGGTCCACCCATCAAATCCACATCCCTCCAGTTTGGAGATAAGGATGTGATGGGGGACCATGTCAAAGGCCTTGCTCAAGTCCAGGTAAATGACATTGGTTGCCTTTCCCTCATCCACTGATGCTGTCTGAAGCCAGAAATTGAAAAGAGAGAGGCATGCCGTGGTTCTATTGACAAGTTTCCTGTCAGCTTTGCCGATAAAGGAGGGCTTTTGGCACTTCTAAGCTATTGTACGTTTGATCTGCAGGAGAGTATTTTATCTGAAGTTATATTTGAATAGAAAATCCTAGTGCTACTTCTGCACTGCACTGGTTTGAGGTCTCATACTTACCAAAAAAAAAAAAAAACAAAAAAAAAACAAAATAAAACCCTACAAAAAAGAACAAACACAAAAGTTTCAGCAGTCCAAACCCTGACTGTAGCTGTGTTTCTCAGCTACATTCCTGAATGCTTTACAGAGTCCTTGCTCTCCATCTAACAAAAGGTCACGTCTGACAGTACTCTGTTCATTAGCAATCATATTTTCAGCTTGCTAATTACAGACTGACATGCTTTGTGTCTCATTCCTACTACCTTTAAGTATATTAAGAAACTGGTGACAGTTCTGGAAGGAAAACATTTGAAAACAGTTATTTATGCCTGCTTTTTGCCACCGCATATCTGAAATCTGATGTCATTTCTTTCAGTTTGTCTGTGTGTGCTTCTGCCCCATTCCAAGTGTCACATGACATATCTATCCAAGGCCTGAACAAAGTTATCTTCGGTTTTACAGTTTGGAATGCCTTGATGACTCATGTGTATTTTAAATTAAATTCCTCAACCTCCTGGAATGCTATTTAGTGTTAAGCATTGCATTTCCCCAGCCTGAGTCTCATCATATCTTTAGGAATCTTTCAGTAACGTCAAAATCATTGGTCTGGGTACGGTGCAAAAGCAACTCACTGATATTTCTGTAACTGTCTATAACAAACAGAAAGATCAGCATGATGGAATGGCGATACAGGAGATGCTACAACAAAGGGGCAAGCATAATACAAACATGTTACAAGGAAAAGGTGCTTACCTGTACCTGAAGATCGAAGCTCACAAGGGAAACTCCACAAGGAAATGATCTCCAAACAGAGATCCTTCCCCACTCGCAGTCAGCCCTTAAGTGAGGTCTAAGAGAGGTGCAGCCAGGCTCCACCCCTTCTGGTCACACAGCTGAATTGACTTCACCTGTGCTCCCAGGGCTGACTGGGGCCTTTCCCAGTTGCTCAATCAGTGGTTCAGGCCACGACTCAGTAGTTACCATACACTGTTCTATTGCACTAGAGCAGCTTCTGTTTTCTTTTCTTTGTTAACTTATTCTTCTACATAACTACAAATACAGTTTTACAACGTTTAGATTTTCTCTGCAGAGTCATTCAATTCAGCTCTCAAACATGCTGGTTGTAGTATGCTATGCTCATGTTAGACATTATGTTTTCATCTTTTCCTCTTGGGCTTAACTTCCTGATAATGCTATCACACTCAGCCTCATCAGTTTCAGCACTAATTAAGCAACCAGAAATTAAAGCATATACTAGGAAAATATCATGTATTTCATTATTTTTTCTTCTACTCATTACTAGTTGATTAAATCCCAAATAATAATTACAGATTCTACCCTGTTTTTCAGTGGTGTTAAGCAGACACAGCAGAAGATGCCTTATCTGGCTGTACTTGCAAATATTTTCCTTTCTTCCAGATAGCATAATAAAGAAAGCATTTGTTATTGTTCTTTTTTAGAACAAAATTCTGTTGTTCACACATGGATCTAATGTCCTGAAGTATAAACATATATGTAAGTGACTGACTGGACTTAGTCCAGCTGACTTAGTTGCAGGATTTTCAAAAATAGATTAGGACCTCTGGGCAAATACATCTTGAGCAGTTGTTTGGCCCATTACTTCCTTTCTTTTCTAAGCCCCAGAGTCACACAGCTGGGCACATATCAATCATGAGATTAAAATATAGGCATCTCACCCCAGCAGGCCCATATCTTAACCCAGCAGGACCTCTGTGTGGAAACAAGATGTTTGTCAGAGCATATCAGAATAACAGAGACCCACTAACTGAGGCTTTCAACAACAAGGGAGTCACCTACCTGAGATAGTTCTGAGTATTCGTGGGGATCCGCATCACGGAGGTGCAATATTGCACATAACACCCCAATTGCACTTAAAAAAAAAAAAAAAATATGAAAACAAGGTGCCGTGTTTTGAAGAAAAAAATAGTTATTTCTTTATGGAAAAATTACTGCAAACAGCAAAACCACAAGTTCTACTTGTGGCTAAAGTTTTTAAAAGAGGAAGTCTGCATGGGACCACACTCCTGAAAGAATGTGAATACAAATAGACTAAGTACATTAAGAAAATACTCTTGTCATGCACTGTTACTGCTCCCCAAGAACCATCCACTTGTTTTCACTATGAAGAGGCTCAGCTATCATCTTTGTAGCCAAATTGTTTCAGTGCGGGCATGTAAGCACAAGCCAAACAAGTGAACCATAGATCCCATTTTGTTCAGTGCCACTAAAAAAGATGCTGAACTGACTTTTTGGGTGGCAGGGTTTTTTTGCTTGTTTTGCATCATATCTTATGACACGTTATACATGAGTTCAGATCAAACAGCTCCTGTTCATAATGCATTTCAAAGTAATTTGAAATAAGATCCTACATGAATTTGAGAGCAAAAACAAGTGAATCAAACTGTTTTTTGTTTTTTTTTTTTTTGTCAATACCTAAGATTTATAATAATAACATTTGATAAGTATTGATTACAATGATAAAGAGTTTTTCTTTTAATAGATTTCTACCTGGGTGTTATTCTGAACACCAACTTAAGTTTGAATAGCACATACAGTGAGACTTCATAACAACTTTGTGAAGAACAGCCTTACTCCAAAATTAAATATTAAGGAAATTTGTCTTTAAGTCATGCTGCACTGCTTTGCCAAACAGTAGCCAGCAGTGTAGAGCTATGAGATAGAAGCAGACTTGGAGGCAGTGCACACCTTTGCCGCTCTTCCCGTGCTATTTGGCTAGCTTATTATTTCACCCATTTAAAGCCCCATGTAGTAATTTTCCACCATGATTAGCTTCTGAAAAGAAAGCCTACAAAGGGTTTAGCAAAGTCCTCCAGAACACAGGTCTCTCGGATTGTCTGAAAATCTATCATTCTTTTATTTGCATTTCAAACAGCTCAGATGAAAGCACAAATGCCTCACAAAAAGGCAGCAGGTGCATAGATAGAGCAAAAGCTGCAAAAACAACCTTTAAAATAACTGCATATGTACACAACTACTCTCTAGCATTATTTCTGATACCAAATAGCTCCCTCTGTCTCCCTGGAATAAGGCAAGCCATTCTGACAGCGCTTAATTAGCTCTAAGGGTAACTAAGTCCAGCTGCTCTGTCTAGCAAAGTGTCACAGCTGCCTTCTCTCAGTCCAGGGAGCTGAAGAGAGGGATGGGGAAAGAAAAAAAAAAAAAAAAAGAAAGAAAGAAAAAAAAAGTGGAAAGTACACACCAGTTCAAGAGCTCCATTCCCAGGGTCTCACAAACCTGACTAGAATCTGGATTGGAATTTTAAACGGATCCATTAGGAGCAGCAACTGGCTTCCTAGGCAACCAGGGTGGCTGCATTGCTGCACTGTTTGCATGGAGATGGGAGGAAGGGGTGGGGGTGCAACATACAGGAAATTGCCCTTACACATTGGCAGGAGAGTTTCCCCATTCACAAACATTCTTTCTGCAAGATGGGATTTTAGGCCTTGATTTGCCAAAGTAGTAGGCAGTGAAGTTATTCAGTGACAGCCTTTAGCTTTCTGTTGCTGGATACAGTGGGACCAGATGCCAGCAAAACTGGTTTTTACATATCTGAATGCTTCCCTGTACCTGAAGAATTTCCATACACCTTGCTGGGGAGGAGATCTGACCCTTTGGATAGGCAGAACTAAAGAATTGGTCCATTAAGCTAGATGAATTTTAAGCACGTTATATTATTTCTTTGCTGTATTTAGTTTTCAGGAAAAATGCCTATTTTTAAAAAGTCTAATTAGTGAAGTTTACCCAGGAAAAAAAAAGAAAAAAAAAGAAAAAAAAAAGTCCTCAGCACTGAAATTATCATTACTGACTTCTCTTTTACCCCATTCATATGCTTCAAACCTGCATATGAGGGGCTCCATCCAGATGTGAAGAGGGATGCCTGTTCCTTCCAAGTCATTGTCCTTCTATTAAAACCAAAACCAGGGGTGCCAAATAGGAAATACCTGTGTCCCACATTACTGTTTATTTTTACTGAAATCTGAAAGTAGGGAATGGAATGTTAAGCCATGGAATACTTAACAGACACACACATACAAGCTCAAGATGACATACAAATATTATTCATACCATACTTTTTGTCACTATAGAGGGAAAATTTCATACCTAAGAATACATGCCAGCCTCCTTAGCATATAATCAGTAACATAGGTACAACAACATTTGGCAAACTGAGACACTGCTCCATCAGGAGGGAATGAATACATAAATCCAGAGAATAGGGATGGGTGTAGTATAAACAGTTTTCAAATAAGATTATTAAGATACTGTTACTTGAAATATGAACCAAATAATTCTGAAACTGAATATTTTAGCTGCATGTTTCTGTGAACATATCGATTGGCTAAGAATGCAACAAAGATGTGTATAGCTTGCACCTGTCCTAGTTCACATGAATGGTACTGCAAGATCTGCCTTACCAAACATTTAATCTTTACAGCTTCAAATTAACACTGACTGATACACTGTGAATCAGCACAAAGCTTCTCCCACACAAATACATGCACATAGTACTATATCAGAAGACGTTCCAGAATGAACACATACAATTGCTCCAAGGTAAGAATAATAACATTCTAAGCCAGACCCATCAGTACATTTATATTTCTAATTGTGAAATAAATAGCAGCAGAAACTAAGCATGAACATAGGTGCATTGAATTCCAGCAAATAATATCTAGATCACAATAAGCTTACTTAATTATTGAGGTGATACACCAACTTAGGCAGCTCGGAACACGTGAACTATCAAGCAGGGCCCTCTCCCCCACATGGATTCCTAAGGCCATTGCTAACTTACTTTCCCCTAACAGAAAAAGAATACTAGCCTCAGCCCTGGCTAGTAAAGCTTTAGACAGAGCGGGTTAGGTTTGTTTGGGTTTTTGTGTTGGTTTTTTTTTTTTTTCTAAAATATTTAAGAGCTTAGGTAGGTCCTCGAGTCCTAATTTGGAAAAGTGTTTACAGTTTTCTGCCATTTATGTTTTGTTAATGATCTGTAAGACATTACTACAACCTCACACTCTTTAAGTGTCCTTTCTTCCCAACCTAAAAGTTGCTTCCACACTTCTTTTTAAACACTCCCCTTCTTACCTATGAAAATCATTCGGTTGCACTTTCTATCAAGTCTTCTGTAGAGTTACTGAAGATTTCAAGCCATGTAAATAGAACTACTTGCTGTATACTTTTAAAATCCTAGAGACGAGTACCTTTGCAATTGACAGGTAGGCTCTGTAGTAATGCAGAGAGAGAGCTATAGTTAAAGAGCAGTACAGCCTCCTTCTACAAAGAGCAATAGAGTTGACACTAGTACCAAAGGCCCCAAACTTAGGTGAAACAAGTTCCTCAGCCCATGGGTAGGGACTTGGGTAGGTGAAACAGGTGAGGCTGGTCAGGAACATTAAGATCTGTCAGTGCCCTCAGGGCTCTAACACCATGCTTCTTTCCCATGTGAACCTTGGGCAATATTTCTTGTCCATGGCCATGACAAGGGTACCTTTCTCAGTGATTTGGGTTGTGTATTCAGCAGCTCTTTTAATATTCTACAGATAGCATTGCTGGCTCTCAACAATCAGCTGTTATGAGATTTCCACCGTCATCAGTTCAGATATGTGTGAAGAGTGGCAAACAAAAAGGGTCAGGATAATATGCTGAAATGCTATAGTATGTCAGGAGAATGATGTCTTCCCATAGCTGAGGATCAAATACCTGTAATGGAGTGGCAACAAAATCTATTTTGGTGTATCTGCTTGAAAGAAAACTATATGTTTTGAACCGCTCTGTAAGATGAT